CCCATTCTCTCCCTCTCTTTCTATGTAGTTCTTTGTCTTTCTTCTCTGTCTTTCCATCTGTCGGTCCAATGTCTGCCTGCCTGTTTATATGTCGGTCCGCAGTCTGTCTCTTCTCCTCTGTCTGCGTGTTTGTTTGTTCATCTGTCTCTCTGTCTGACTGTCTCTGTCTCTACCCCCCCTCCTCTCTCTCTGTTACTCTGTCTCCACCCCCTTCCGTCTAGGAAATAAACATATTATCTTTCCACATATTTGTGCTGTTAAAGCGCATGAAAAAATAGACTTATTGAGCAGTATACTTGTGTATCATTCTTAATCAGTCACGACCATTAACGGAAGAAAATTACCCCAACGCATTTCTTTTTGAAGTGACGTGGAAGATACCATGAAACTTTATAAAATCAATGTAGATACAACTGGGAAAAGATGTACAGGCTTTACATCTTCAGATAATCCTAGCTCCTTATATTAGAGCTAAAAGACAAAGGATATTTACACTTGAAAGGCACGAGACGCTATATTCTAGAAGAAGAAATAGTGGGGATATACTAAAAAAAAAACCATAGCATGTTTACTGTTACTTAATGAGGAGGATCGAGGAACGAAAAATCAATAATGTATTATCTATTTCTAATCAATGTAGTTTATCACCACATGTGATTTTTAGCTTGCAATGGTTTAGGTAAATCTTATTTTCTTCCTAAAGGACCTGTTGTTGGTAAGATGTGTATTGACCTGGCTATCGAAAAAGCGAAATCGAGCGGCGTTGGATGGGTGTGCGCTTCAGGTGAATATGCTAAAGGTTTAATAATATGCTTATGTATCTTTAACTAACTGCATCATTTGCCGCTCTGTTCAGCTTGAATGTTCATTCTTGACACAGTATATCTTATATTCGATAGAAACACGAAGGTAAAAATATAGACCTAAATTAGAAATAAACTTTGTGTGACAAAAGCAACAATGACATTAGAATGAATAGTATAAGGCAAAATTTGACTTTTTAACCAAATGCATGCGAAAATAATTATATATACATACATACTTTTATATAAATAAAGAA